GTAAGATCACTGTGAGTTATAAAGGACTTGCTGCAACCGTCTTCTTCACATCGGAACGTGTCGCCAGTATGACTGCGATTATGGGCTTTGAGTCGGTACGTGGTTGAGAATTGCTTGCCACACCCATCGATGCTGCAGTGGTAGATCTTCTTAGGGGTGGCCTGGTGACATAATTGGAAATGGTAATTTTACCATTATAGCCATTTAACAGCGGAACCTCATTAATCCGGTCACGAAAAGTGATCGAATTAACAGGATAACCGAGGTTCTATACCGAGCTAGCCATATGAATATTTTAGCCGGAGTGCAAGGTTACACTGTCACAACACCTAAGGCTTTTGAAATTGAAATTTTTGTTGTATAACAGATACGTCKCAAGGGTTTTGTGACATAGTAAACCTCTTCAGATTGGCCATTTGAGAGCAAAAACAACCCACTAACAGTTGTTTCTTTATATCAAAATATTAAAATATCTACATAAGAAATAAGCTTTTTGCAAAATTATGTAAAACACTCTCTGCGATTGTGCTACTACAGCCTCCCATCCCATTTYGCAAAGTCGTTTGTCAAGGAATAAACCTTTTAGCGATCTGTTTTACGCTGTTTTAGCCTCAAAACTGTGCAATAAATTCTTTTATATTCACTAGCCCGTGCAAATGCAAGAGATCTGTGAGTATAGAAGACAATGGAGATAGTTTGAAATTTACGGGTTTTATTTAAATTTATTAATATTTTGCACACAATTGAGGCTAACACTAACTCAACTAGAGCGGATTTCGTATGAGTGGGAAACGGACGGTACTGTACTGTGACCGTAATCGTACTGTAACCAAATTCTAGTGCCCCACTGGTTCACCAAAATTGTGCAGGCCAGGTCCGGTAACTGTGCGGTAACCGTGCGGTAACGGTGTCCCACTCATACCAAATCCGCTCTATTGATGCAAAATTGCCAAGGATGAGGAATGAACGTGCCTGCAACCTTGCAATTTGTTATGGTATTCAATTTATTTTGCACAAKAATGCAAGTACTCCCAAAATGTTTGAAAAATGTTTCATTCCTCTGTAAATAAATGAACATGACCACATGATCGGGAAAACTGACCTGTGATTCTTGGTCCAGTTGATCCTGAGCATCGCTATCTTCATGTARAACATACAGGGTACCCGTATGCTCACCATGGTCGACCTGTGTTAGATATACAGAGAAGGCCTGGGTCAACCGTTTGTTCTACTCATTATTATCTTATTTGGGTGGAAAACATACGGTCTCCCTACATGACAATACGCAAAAACATTCCCATAGTGTGAAACTGTTGGATGCACTGGGATTGCTTGTGATGCAGTGAGATATTGGGTAACATAGGATAAAGTCTCTAAATCATGAGGATAGAGAACTGCACAAAAACACTAAAAAAGCAGATAATAATGGATTATCTAAGAAAATAAAACTTCAAAATCAATAATCTGAATCCAGACAATTTTTGTGGTTACTCCCTCCTTAAGACGGGTAACCCACTATGTTATCTAGTTGTAAGTAAGTAAGTCATATCACCTGAATTGATGTAACCCCACTATACCCCCTGAATACCAACAATGGCTATTGAAAATCCCCCCCACCACCTCCCCATGCTGTCTGAAAGTATGAGTCATATAAAAGTATAGCATTCCCAATCTTTTGAATGAATGATAGGCACCTTGAATAACGAAAACTTTTGAGTCTGAAATCCTGGGTTATTTCAGAATCCACAATTCAAAAGGATTTCGAAATCTAGAAAATCTTTAAAATCTTTAAACCATCCCCCAACATCTTCTATAAAATTGATAAATGATGATGGAATGCTCTGTTGTGCATGCTATAAATCATGGCAATGCTGATTATGATGACAATGATGATTATGATGACAATGATGATTATATACCTGCGTACTCTGTTGTACATGTGTGTATTGCTCTAGTATACCACTATGGTCTACAGTTTCTCCTGTGGCTGTTACTATGGATGCACTGTTTTCACCAATATTCGCCATGGAAACAGAAGTRGGACCTTCAAAGGCTCCGCCCTCTGAAGTGATGACATAGCTTGTGCCATCAGATGATTGGTGGACATAGGTTGCTATGGTGATGAGTTGGAAAAAAGGAAAGATTAGAATTACAGAATCGTACCCAGTCCTTACACTTCTTTTTTTTTTCCTGTGGTGCTCGCAAAGGATCAAGGGAGTTCTGACCTCCCCTGATGCCATAAAAAGAGCAAGAGAAACAACTGGGTATGATTCTGTTAGAATGATATCCATATATAGATAAGAGTCCATATTTACTAGACTGTAGGCAGTTAAAGCAGAAAAATTAATCACAAAATAGCCCTAGAATTTAATTCAAGACCACAGAATAAAGGTGAAATGCAAGTAGGTGAGGAAATTTGACCTAACAAAAAAAATTAACATGTTCATTGAATGCATAAATATTTCCCTTCAAATTCAAACCACTTTAAATCAAAGAAACAGTGCACACTAACCTCCCTCAAAGGGACCTGTAGCAGGAATAGCATGAACTCCYCCAGGAAGCTCAGTGAGTGTAATAGCCTGTTGTTCCAGGTAAACAGCTCCACTTGCTGTACTYACAACCACAGACTGGACAAGGTCAGACTGAGTTAGACTTGATGGAACATATGTATCCGTTCCTTGGTGAGTTTCATCTACTGTAGATAGAAATTTAATGTTAGTATTGTTAGTCTCCTTGGCAGGCTACTCCAAGGGAAACAGACTTTTTTCTCCTCTTGGTCTTCCTGTGTTCATAATCTTGACCAAGAAGAACTGGTGTCAAGAGATTAGGAACAACAAATAACCCCCTCACCCTCCGGCAGCTTTTTTTTCCTTAACACAGGAATCCCACAGAGTAGAGTTGCCTGAACGGAGGCTAAGTATCGTGTGTGTGACAAAATGATTTGAGTGTTTTTTCTCAATTATAATTTTCACTTCTGGCAGCAAGTGTGTTTATTTTACGAGCCAATCAAAGGGTGGGAAATTTTTTGTGTATTCCAGAGCCCAATTTCTTTGTCGCAGACCAAAAGTTACGCAGGTTTTGGGTAAGAGATTGATTTATAGACACTTAATTTACACCTAGAGGTATCAAACTCAACTGCTGTATCACTTTGATAATTGAGTTTTTTCATACCTTCAGTAGAATGTTGAACTGTTTCCATGATTGATGCTGTGGCACTCTCCTGTTCACATTGCTGCCCTACAACAACTTCATGTTCTTGACCTGTATGCTCAGAGACCTAAAAAAACACACAAAATGAATAATATGAAAAGATGAAATATATGTTATCCAATAAAACTAGAGTGAAGTCAAAACCCCCACAAATAGATATTGCTGTAACACTAATTCATTCACTTGACTATAATAATTTTATACCCAATAAAACTAGAGTGAAGTCAAAAACCACACAAATAGATATTGCTGTAACACTAATTCATTCACTTGACTATTATAATTTTATACCCAATAAAACTAGAGTGAAGTCAAAACCCCCACAAATAGATATTGCTGTAACACTCATTCATTCACTTGACTATTATAATTTTATATCCAATAAAACTAGAGTGAAGTGAAAAAAACCCACAAAAGATTTTTCTGTGCACTAATTCACCTTAGTGTAAGTACACTCTAATTGTGTTGTTTTCTTTTTTGTCTTAACTTTAACACTTTTTAAAATTATCAAAATTACTATTTTAAAAATCGTCAAAAAATATTAAAGTCACCTCATCAACAACAGTCTCATCTTGCAGCACCTCTCGAGGTACCATGGCAACAGCTTTAACGGAATCTGCTTCACTGTTGTTTGAAAAAACATGTTGTTTAAGAAGTAGKCCAATTACTTCTTGTTCTGCGCTGTTGATTGGCTGCCCTGCAATATTATTGACAGCTTCACTCGAATCTTCGCATGTCTCACTGACTTCCCCTGGTTAGAAAAAAGTACACATTGTTACAGTACATTAATTGTACCAATGAAAAAAATCTTTCCTTCAGCAAACTTTTTCAATAATAATAATTTGGTCATAAGTAAGTGTAAGGGGAATCAAATGACAAAAACATCAAGCTCTGCATATACATCATTAAGCTGTAGATTTCAGATATGAATATTTCAAACACRATTTGCGGTTTCAAGAGTACAAATGAAATCTCCAGACTTTTGAAGAAAAGTACATAAATCACTAGGTAGCATCAATGTGTGATGTTTTAAATGTAGGGCGTATCAAATGGTAAAATCCAAGCCTAGCTGAGTCTGCGAGCCCCTCCTTTTAAAATCTGAGCCCGAGCCTTTTGCTGAACGAATCCTATATTTCACCAATTGAGAGTTTCTTTTATTACCTTCTACTGCATCACCCTTATCATTCCCATGATCCTCTCCTTTACAGTCTGGTGGTGATATATCGTCTAAAGGGACTGTTGCAGTATCCATGAAGACTAGTTAATCTTAAATCTAACAAAACAAGGGAACCTTCCTATAAATAGCCCATTTATAATCACTTAGCGTTTATTTATTCCACATAGCATCACTATTTTATAAAGGAACGTAAGTAAAGCATCAAGATAAAGATACTTTGCCTACGCTCCTTTATAAAATAGTGGTGGTAATATAATGCATTACATAATCCCCAAACAAATGAATTTTTTTAGTACCCCTTTTTGATACCCTTTGACTCATYCCCCTCCAAAACAGTTCCTTGGGGATGGAGAAGGCACAAAACATCACTTAAAAAAAGCTAATTACAAGATTCATGAAAAAGATGGCAGACTCGTACCCAGTCGTTACTCTTCATGTCTTTGGCGCCCCAAAGGATCAAGGGAAGTCAAAAGAAAAGGTAAGTTTCTCTCCATTAGTTCGGACTTCTCTTGATGCACCATTACCCGTTAAACGAGTAAGAGAAATGGCTTAGTACAACTCTGGCGAGATGGCAAATTGTTTCTTTTATAATTCTTATCTTGATTTCCAAACATTTGGCGATGGAAACTAAGATATCGATATATGCTACATACATTTCCAGATTACATAGTCTGGATTACCAGTGGTTTRACACCAAATTAATGAAGGAGCAGTATTTACAGACCTATGGAATATATGTCATTCTCATACCAATTGATTCCTCCTTAGCTTCCTAGCGGAAAATCGAAGGCTCTCTGTTAAGAAGCTGCGTAGTGTCTGGGTACAATGGAATCTATCCATATACAAGTATASTTKCTGCRAGTCTACCCTGTTTACCYAGGAKAGGTGATGAAATTCTCCCAGATGAGATACTGTTGTTATTCCAAAAAAGGTGCCAAATTTAATGATAACTATGAGTTAAAGGGCTACTTGGACGAAAATTACAAAACATTAGAAAAGACTTGGAAATCAAGTAGACATATCCATATCGGTCTAATAATCATGAAGCAACAGATTTTAAGAAGATATTGATACAAATCCTTAACAATTTGGGCAAAAAATGTTTGAGTAGATGACGTCATTTACTCCATCATTTAGTTCTTCCATCTTTTGAATCAAAATTTCTYTGATGTGGGATAATTCCAAAACAAGTATTTTCMCGCAATTGTTTTYAAYAGATAGAAATGASTCATATATTTGTATTGCTTGAAGTTTTGAAATAAGACCATTTTCATGCAAGTRGCACTTTAAGAGACTCCTCATCTCATCAATATTCATAACAAAAAGGACAAGACTTGGTCTACAGACTTGATTAAATATTTTATTCTTTTAAAAAGCACAATTGTGAATTGATCAGTTATGTTATTGTTGAAGCTTAGAAGTACAAAAAAATCTTGCAAACTCTTCAGAATAACTGTCATTAGTATAAACATATTAATGGTCACTCATACTGCGCTGTGATTGGCTACTCTACTAATGGTCTAATTTGTGATAGACCACTCGCGGGGAAAATCAATCTCAATAATAAATTATTTTAAGGATATTTCAATTTGTTTTCATTATTTGACTGATTAGTATGTTTATACTAAAACAATTAGACCTCTCGGCCTCGTGGACTACGAGCTAATAGCCCATTGGGCCTCGCGCACTCAACCTCATGGGCTAATAGCTCGTAGTCCACTAGACCTCGAGGTCTAATTGTTAACTACAGTATTTTGCCATGACTAAGTAAATCTGATAGACATAGTTAGCAAGTTGTACACAGGAACTCCATACAAATTTTGCAATGAATCAAACTTGTATATTATTCTAACAGAATAATTGTCATTTTACAGTATTTTGCCATCACTTGCAAGTAAATACTCAGTAGACTAGAAGCAAGTCTGTACACAGGAACTCCATGTTAATATGACTAAATATTGAACAGTAATTTGCAATGAATCAAGTATAAGGATTTGGTGTTTTGCTTGTTCTCCAAAGCAATAATTTACAGTAAGACTGAGCTCAACTTGACTTTAGAAGGAAAAATATCACACTTTTTTACCCGTTAAGACTTAAGCTTATAGCTTAGACAGATAAGAATCAACTTTAGATGATCACTGTAAAATATATAAAAAAAATCTCCTTCAAATCAGAGACCAATAATTCTTTTCCATACAAAAGTTTTTGTGACCGAAATTTCCTTGCATTWAACATAAAGAAAATTCTAGCTAATCAGCAAGCTTTGAGAGTGAAACACAGCCAAGCCACCGAGTCCACGTTTAATCGATGTTTCCTCTGAAAATGAGATTCTTGGTAAAAGATTTACTGGTTTTTCGAGGCTCAACCGACTTAAAACAGACGATCTTAAATTTTGTGTGGCAAACAAGCCAGGAATTTGAGTCGGGAAGACTCCATTCGAGCCGCTCGATKAGGGCGACATGTTTTTGGCGCGCAAACCACATTCACTTCAAGCCATGCTTTTGTCTTCAACTTGAATCGTGCCACGAACACGAAAACAACTTTTCGACGATATAAACGAAGTTTTACAGCACAGAACTGCTGTGGAACTCACTTTAGACAAAAGTCATGCTAAACCGAATACAAGAGAATCGATTTCAAAGTAATCTTGAGGTTCAACCAACAAAATTACTCGACAATCGCCTCGACCAACAGTCCGCCATGTTACAGATTCAAAAGATGGTAGTTGCAGTTGAATTTCAAAGGAAAAACATTGAGTAAACGGCTAAGAAAAGAAGCAAACATAACAACAGTGTTTAGTTGAAGGATTTTATGTACCTGGAGTTCTGGGATTGAAGTCAATCGCAATGCACGCCGGGTTCGTTGATGATGAACGCTGGGAAGACAAGCAAGAAGAACCAACAACAAGAACACAGCCGACGCCTCGACACTCGAGAATCCCGCGGGACCCGACCCGAAAATCACGGGATCGCTTTTGTTCTTGGTCACATGATTATTAAATAAATATTCTTTTTTTATTACTTTTTTCTTATTCACTGATGAACGCTTTAATTTATAAATATATGACGCTATATARATATACGAAATTATTATCAATTAATATTATTTATTTTTTCCTAAAATGCCATTGTTATTTATTCCGCAAGCGTGCTGAATTTTCTGATCTACAAAGAATAAATTTTTGTTTATTCAATTTATAAAAGATATAAAAACAAATTGAATTCATTAAAAATAATATTGAATTCACATGATTTTAATCAGTTCTCTAAATAAAATAGAAAAAATGATCTGTCTCAAGTTTATGACTAAGCAAATCTTGAAAACTTAAAACAATTTGCTTAAATTCTTTGTAAAGATATTACAGTTTGATTGATGAATGAAAATATATGGGAAAAGCTTAGAAGAAGATTGCGTGATGGATGGACTTCCTGTGTTAGTGACAAAACACTTCCGGTGTATGGTCACATGACTTGGCTTCAGACCGGTTTCGAAATCGTATCATGAARTAGTCACGGGAGTGTTATCCTTTTGCATTCCTAAATATCCTCTCAAATTTTCTTTGAAAACACTCAACGTAATGCGATATTAACCACAGATACTTATTCTCYCAGATTTTAGTAATTTTAACTTGAAAATCCGGCGAAATACTTTGASAAAATGATTGGGAAATCGTACGAAGAACGTGCTTCKTTGCTCAAATCGGTAAACCGACCGTATCAAGCAATGGGAAAGTCAGTCCACCAAGCGACTTGTAAAGTCTACAAGAGACGATGGTAYATTTTATTGATATTTTCATTGGTCGCATCTTTGAACAATGTGATCTGGAATGCTTGGGGGCCGATCCAAGCAACGTCGCAAGTTGTTTTTGAATGGGACAACACTGTGATAACCTTGTTGGCTGATTGGGGACCGATATCGTATGTGCTGGCTGTTATACCAATGTCGTGGCTTATGGATGCTAAAGGTTTGCTTTCATAATCATTTTTATTTATTTCTACATATTTTATAGATAAAATTGAACTCAAAAGTATACCAGTACCTTAGGCTGCTCTGATTGGTTACATCATACCATTGTATTGATGTAATACATTATTTGTATGTTGTTAT